CGCACGGGAGACAAGATATGGCGCAAGCAGTCGCGACGCCAACTGCCGCCAACGAACGAGCAGACGACGCCGAGAGCCGGCCCTTTTGCAGACAAGGAACTGCAGTTCCTTGCTGTTACCGCGCCTGTCTTTTTTGTTTCTGCGACTGTCGCCGCCTGCGGAACGCGCGCCGCTTTTGAGTCGAAAAGTCGTCTGCTAAAAAGGCTTGCTCTCGGCACCGTACGCTCGTTTGTTGGCGGCGTTTGTTGCGTCATCTCTTGTCTCCCGTGCAAAACGGCGCCGTGTTGTTTGCAGACCGGTGGCGTCGCTGCGTTTCCATTGTAGCTAAGCCTTTTTCTTTCTTCACCAGAATTTTGCAGTAGCATCACTAAACTCCAGCAATGTTGTTTTGCTCCGTAGAAAGTGTTTTAAATTGGTACAGAAGAAAAATTTTAGTTTATACTTTTGCTAAATATAGACTATCAAGTGTGAAGACCTAACAAACACCAATTTTTCAACAAGATGAAAGATATTTCAAAATTAGTTAAATGATTCACAATTTCACTAGGCGGGTGCTTGCGAAACATTGTTGGATGATCCTGTTGTCACGGGCCCATCAAAAGAGAAGCTCTGCACCGTGAGAGTGCGGAGTACTAGTATATGCGAGAGTGGGTTTTCAATTTTAAAATTATTTTAAAAACGTGTTTGCCGTACATTGATGTTTCTTTTGTCAGCAGCCACAGGGAACACAAGCAACGCAAAACTTTCGCACACAATCTGCGAAAAGTTTTTTTATTAATGAGACGAGCAAGCGTAGTTGTCTTACCGAATTGCACGACGAGACAGGAAAACGGAGATTAACCCTGTTCTCCACGCGGCCCTAATTCCTGCTTCTGGCGATCTTCTTGGGATCACCTCCCGGGTAAACGAATAAAACTCTCCAGGAAACACGTTTTCCTTCCTATTTAAGACAACACCGTGTCGTTCGACTTGTCAACAATGCCCAATGTCCCGCCCTTTGGCAGGCCAGCACGACGCGCACACCAGCGTCTTGCGTCGTCCGCTCCTCCGATACGTACGGCCAACTAGTAAGGGCAGCCTCACCAGGTGGAGAAGTGGCGCTGCGTGTGCGCGGTGGAACTTCAGCCCAACAACCTCGTCTCCTCGTTTGCCTGCACATGCTGTGGTTGCCGACAAAGCTAGAATGGCAGGGAATAGGTCCAGTTATCCCGCCTCGAGCACGGTTTTCCCACCTTGGACGTCTCGTACGTCTGGAGCGTGCGCATGCTGCCAAAGCACTGTGGAAGGCACAAAGCGCATGCTGGAGGTCGAGCATTTGAAAAAGACCTCCCGCCACAGCTAACTAGCCGCATTTACGCCGAGGTCATCATTCATCCGAACACTATAGCTGTGTTCCAAATCTTCCTCAAATGGATCCGAGTTACTCCGGCGGGTAGTGTCACGTGACAGCACAGATTGAGAAACGCTGGACGAGGGTAGGTTTTGGAACTCCAAGGTACAAAACCCTTACCCTGGAGTAAGATCAAATACATTTTGGAACACGGCCTATGATTACTGGAAGTGGGCTATCCTTCGGTGTTTAAAAGGAAATACCTAATCGAGTTAAAAATAGGTGGCGGATTATCTTTCGGAGGTGGGGCATCTCGGGATATTACAGCAGGCATCGCTGTGGGTTAGTCCCTAAGCACTTCAGAGCCATGCGTGTTGGAGGGTACAGCTGTTGTCCTTTCTTTTTATATTTGTTTATTTAGGATAGTCCTAGAGGCCCTTTAAAGGACACATGCAAAGGAAAAAAACATTTTTTTTAAACGGCTTAGATGGAAAAAGGACGCCATAAAACGATTTTACAACGAAGAAAAAAAAATTTTAGAGCTATATTTACGGCGCAAAACGAATTTGTAGTTGGCGCCCGCGGGCACCGCGGAAAAGTGGTCCGTATTTATCACGTGACTGGTCCTTATTTATCACGTGGTGGTTGCGCTCTTTCGGAAGCTTCCTATGGCCTCTAAAAGTAGCTTATTCATCTTTTTTTAAAGTATAACAAAAAAACAAGACGAATAAGTAACTTTTAGAGCCCAAAGGAAACTCCTGAAAAAGCGCAAGCAGACGTGATAGACCTGTGCGCCGGTCAGACGACGGCGGCGGCGCCCCGAAGCAGACGAACTTGTGCGGCGGCGGCGACGGCGGCGTGGAGAAACGCGTTGAAGCGGCGTTCGCACAGCGCTCAGCGTGCGGCGGCGACGCAGCGCGGCGGCGCGCGGGCCTACCACGTGACCAGCGGCGGCTCCCGCGAGCGCCAACTACAAATTCGTATAGCGCCGTAAATATAGCTCTAAAAATTTTGTTTCTTCGTTGTAAAATCGTTTTATGACATCCTTTTTCCATCTAAGCTGTCTAAAAAAAATGTTTTTTTTCCTTTGCATGTGTCCTTTAAAACAGGCAGAAGAGGGGTGCACCCATGCTTGTAAGGTGAACACCTTGTTGAAAGTGACATGTTTGTGCTTGTATCATTGACTTCGCTTCCACTTATTATTAAACGGAGCTCAAGAAATTGCGGAAAAGTTTTTAAGTGACGAAGATAGGAGCCCAGGGCTTCCACTCCTGCGCCAATTGCACCATTTTGTGCCAGAGAGGTTTTTATGCGCCCTCCTGATAAAAATTTGCAAAAATGCCCGAAATTATGCCAAGCCGCTCCAAAATCGGGCGATGGGAATTGGGCGGCGTCTAGCACCACCTATCCTAGTCAAGGTGAACTTCACTGCAGGTCTGAATGAAAAGCTACAAAAACAACTTTAAAGAGCAGGCTTTTGATAAGCTCATGGTATTTGAAATAAACCACGTGATATATGTTAGATGAGCGGTTTGATAAGCTCTCTGTGTTTGAAATAAACAAAGTGTAATAAGTTGATGAGCCAGTTCGTCATCCATTTTATTGTGAAGGTAGTGCCTCCTAGTCCCTCGCATTCGTTTTCTGAAAGGTGTTGATTTTCTCCTTTTCAATGTCTTCCTGCGACCAATATATCATACTTGTGTAAAAAAACTTACTAACATAACATTTAACAGCATCGAAAATTGTCAATCTACACCTACCGTAAAATACTGTGCATCCGCCCATACCGAAATTTGTAGGATCTGAGAAAATGCACACAGTACATTTGTATGTAAAATGAATGACCGGAGAAGCCCATCCCCCATTTTTTTGCGATTTCCTCAAGTTTGATTGGGCGCTTGCCCGGTATTTTACGGTAGGTTCTCTTAAGTACTAGACTTGGTACACAAGTGCTCAAAAGTGTTTCGAAAAATTATATTTAGGCGCTTACGAGTGCTACGGAATTCACATGTAGGCACTCCAAACTGCTCCAAAACGAATATTTTGGTGCTCCAAACTGCTCCAAATTTAATATTTGGTTGCTCCGAAAATAGCTCCAAATCTGGTCTTGGCAGTTGCACCACTGGGAGCCAAAAACAAAAATGTGCAAAAAGCATAACAAGAGGAATATAAGCAAAATACAGCTAAGCCAGACAAAGGAGAAAGTTAGGTGTTGTCTTCGTACTTCAGTTCACAAAGTTCCATTTGAACAGCTTCACTCGCTATGTGTGCCGGTAGGTTATTCCAATCGACTATCGTTTTCTGTGTGAATGATTCTGCACAAACAGATGAGGGCATGTAATTTTTTTTACTCCGTTTTAATGTTCCCACTGCATGAAAATATTGGTGCAGTAAAGAAATTGCTGTGGAGTAATCTATGATGCTAAAGTTTATGGAAGAGTGATGGACGAGGAAGTTTCTGGTGACAGGACGAGTCTCGCAATTGGGCACAGTTGGAAGACCTAACATTCATTGTATACAGTCTGGCAAGATGCACTCCAGTCACACATGCCACTTTCATCAGCCACCATCTGCAAATACACAGTGATGCTACTGGCGGGAGAACACTTTCCAGCAGGGCCTAGATACCATCACAGGATCCGCTAGATCCACCGAGCTCCAAAAAGGGTGTCGAATTTTGAGCATGCTGGGCTATGCCTATTGGGAGTTTGGGCCATTGGCTGTTACCTTCATGGTAACCATTACCATTCTGCTTGACACTTCCTAAAAACATCTCCAACTTAGCGTTGCATTGTCATTGAATAAATTGGGCGTAAACGTTACACAGGTGAATTTCCTGTGTCCCTCGTCCATTGCCTCAGTTTTATTACTTTCGGTAAATATCACTTAGAATTACTTCTTGACGTTCATAGGTTACGAAGCACGCATTAGTATTTTTCTTCATGCACTGGCAGTCACAAAAAAAATTGAGAAGAACACGAGCGGCTTTCGCCCTCTCAACTAGCGGCCAGAATGAGCAGCCACGCGATCTGGAGCCGATTATATGCCGGCAGTGTTTATCGTAGCCTTGTGCCGGGGTTGACCACGAGACGTGTGCTGAGTTCCATACATTGTTAAGGTTCGACCATTACCATCGTCATACCGATTAGGCGCGGGTCACTTCCCGAACATTTGTTGAGACATTGATTGTCACGAGACCAAATCGTATGCACAGCGTTTGTGTCCATTGCACGAGGTGCATTTAAATATTGTCACCGCAGGTTTCACGAAACTTGACCTGGAAATCCCGGGGATAGCGTTGTTGGCAACGCCAGCAACGTGATCCCCACAACTTTGTCACCAAGATTTGTGAAAGGGAAACTGAAAGAAAACGTCCGCCTTCATCCTTGGAACTATGCGGCTACAAAGAGGCTCTTTGGTCAGTGGCGTTTCGTGCGAGCATACTTGGGTTCCCACTACTACCAGTAAGCTTGTGTAAAGTGAGAAACATTCCCGTCCAATGTCATTACGCCGCCCCTTTAAACTGGGACAGCAACTGGAAGTGCGATAGCAACCTACAGTCGCGCACCTATTTGTCACCGATCGTATTGTGGCATAATAGTGCAGTGCCAGGTTGACTGTCGGACCAAATCCGATTCTAAATGCATCCAATTAATTTTTATCGTTACAGTCGCTGTCCATACTCTACACGAAGCTGCTTCGTGCGCTACAAGGCATTCCCGAGAGTGCGGCGTACCGGCGATACACGGAGGAGATCGTGAAGGAACGCATGGCGCTCGTCGAATCTGTGAGTAAACAAGTTTGGAGAGATAAGCCGTATCTTTGAAACGGTGCACCGGGCACTTTGTGTCTTTTGTCCTCCAACCGCCCCGATTTCCAGGAGAAGGACGTTGCCAAGCTGGAAGCCAAGATCGGTGCGGGCCAGATTGAACAGGTCATCCGTCAGGTGCGTCGGTCTTTGCACTTTCGCTTGGCGGCACGTGGCAAACTTTATTTTTCCGCAATCCCCGCGCGGTCTCTCCCTCTTTGCGAGCGTTTCACGACCGCCGATTGCGGGGCCGTTGCGGGTTCAGAATGTTTCGCGAAGATAAGTACTCGCACGGTACTTGTGTAATGTAGGAGCGAAGGCAAAATGTGCATCCGCAAGACTGTTGCATCATTGCCGGCCATCCGCAACAGTGTACCTTGCTTCGCCTCCGAAGACGTTTCGCTTACCGCAACCACGTGGACAGCTTGTTGTTGCTACTTTGTTAACCCGAGGCACTTTGCAGCCAAAAACAAAAACTTTAAAGGGGTTTTAATCTGGAAACGTCAGATTTTACGAATGCTTCGTATACGCAACGGTCTTTTCTTTTTCTTTTTTTTTTCGTCAAATTCTTGTTTGGCTTAAATCATGGTCCTCTTTGGCCTAGAGACTTCTGCGGCATTTATTGTAACAGAATGTCAGTGATGCCTGTTTCCGTCTGTCATATGCTAAGGATAGTGACTCATTTGGTCATTGAATGGTGACCTCTTATGTATGTTTTGTGAATAACCATTATTTCCTTCAGCAGACCGTTAGATCCCGAGAGATTACCCACCGAAAATTGAGAGAAAATTGGGTGAAAATAAGGAGATAAGGAAAATAAGGAAAATAACTTTCAATGTGCAATAAAAAAAAAGTTGAAAAAATTATATTTTTATGTGTGTCTGTCAAACTTGCTATTGCGGCGAGGGGCAATGAAGCAAAGATGACTGTACTTCCCAGTCAGCATTGTTCGCTTATATCCCGCCATGGCTAACTAGATGCATTTATGCCAAGGTCATCACTCATCTGAACGCTACGATTACTAGGAGTGGGCTATCTTTCGGTGTTTATAAGGAAATAGCAAATCGAGCCAAAAATAGGGGTGGGCTACCTTTCTGGGGTGGGGTATCTCTCGGGATTTTACGGTAAAGTCAAGGACACCCTAAGTCAAGGACGTCTCGGTCACCTCGGCACCCCCCAAAATAAATTCCTGGCTATGTAACTGCTGCTGAGGTGTTGCAAGTTGGGCGAGTTGGTACGAATACATACTGAACAGAACAGCGCACAAAAAGACGAGGACAGAGAGAATGAACATGCACAACACACAATCGCTTGTGTGTTGTGCACAGAACTCTGCACAAAAAGGCAAGAACAGAGAGAAGGAACATGCACAACACACAAGCACTTGTGTGTTGTGCATGTTCGTTCTCTCTGTCGTCTTTTTGTGCACTGTTCTGTTCAATATGCTGCTGAGCTCCTTAGGAACACTGAAGTAGATGTTGAGCTTGGTTTTGATGGTTTCACATACAACACAGGCATGCCTGGTTCAGTTTTAACCTAGGGAATTTACGGCCATTCAGGTCAGCTGATTGATCAAGAGAGAAGGTGCATTGGTAGCAGTGTGCTCATGTGAATATAAACAAATTCGTTTATTGTCGACTCTTGTTTTAGAAAATTTTAAAATTTCGGTTTGTCTGTCAAACTGATGCTCGGGGATAGGTCGGGTATTTTCGGTGCTAATTTCAAAACGTTTTCTTCACTAAGTTTTTTTAAAGTAAATGGATGGTGCTTCATTTTGGTGGGCATGTTTATTACAATTGTTTGTGAACCTTTATATGAGTAGATGCTAGATTCCTTGTGTGCATTAATAAAAAGGAAATGGACAACTGAACTAGCCAAGGCGAAAGCAATGTTTTATGACCTCCTTAATAATTTAACTGACATCCCTTGGCATATTTTGTGCAAAGTGTGAATGGGCCCATTCACACTTCTTTTCACTCTTTATGTGCATGCTCTACACTGGCAGGTATACACTCTACCCCAGTGGTTCTCAAATGGGGTACGTGTACCCTTTGGGGTTCCCAAAGGCATTCTTAGGGCTTCCAAAACTCTCAACTAATAACTTTTTTTATTAATATGATGCTGATTGTTTTACATGTGCACCAAGTTAGTAGGGCTGATTAGTCTGTTTCAGAGTTTCAAAGTTGACTTGCATGCATTTAGTTTTTATTTACTCTTTTATTTACCCTCCTTCCTGGTGGATGGAATCCCCCTCCTCCCCCCCCCCCCCCCCCCCATCACTTCCCTTGATCCAGAAGGGTGGTCCTGTAAACATCAGTGGTTGAGAACCACTGCTCTGTCCTTTGAACTCTAGAATTCTTATGATTGGACCTCAACTACACTGAGAACTAGAAAAGGCTACCTTCAAGCAGCTTTCTTTTATATGTGCCACCCAGAGTTGCTATCTGTAATTTCACATTTTTTTTAGTACAGTGCAATCCACTCATAACGATGATGAAAAAGCCCGAAAATTCAATCATTACAACTGATCATACATGGGAAAATTACTTTCAAAATGTAATTTAATTACAATTACAATTACTTAGCTCCCAAAGTAGTTTAACTACAATTACAATTACTACTACGCGAAAGTAGTTCATTGCAATTACAAACTACTTATTAAGAGTAATGCAATCACTTTACAATTACTTATTTCTGAGAGCTACCCCCCCCCCCCCCCCCCCCCCCCCACCTTGGGCCATACAGCTGTAAACGAGTTATATGGTGTGGTGAAGGCGAGCGGGTTGAACATGAATACATAAAATTGAAAGAATAAAACACAGATGACAAGCAGTTGTCCTGTGCTTGTCCTCTGTGTTTTATTCTTTCAATTTTATGGAGTTATATGGCCGCTGTATAAATGCATTTCAGCCACGATGATTCGCTGCCTCTCCCTGTCTGTGGACCTGTAACATGCCGGATGTGGGTAACCGTAGCATGCGAACTGTGGTCGCTTCCACAAAACTAATGTCACAATAGCAGCAACTCTATTGCCAGGGATTCTGGGTTAATTCTGTGCACGGTAACACCCATAAGCGCCAACTACGGGGGGGCAGTGGGGCTCGTGCCCCCCCCGGACGGCTTCACGGGGGGGCAGAGCCCCCCCCGGCCCCGGCCCGGGATTTTTTTTAAAGAGCTTGGCTTGGGTCTGCGCCCATCGACAGTGGACTGTTGGCCGTCCTGACTGGCAGCTATTTCACAGGGGCCTGTTTATTCCCGCTTCTTATTTCCTTTCAGGCTTTTAAATGGTGGATCTCGGGACAGTGACAGATCAGACATTCAGTGGAAAATTCCCCTCAGACGGAGTTAGATGCGCGGAATATGTTGTCTGAATGAACAGCTGAAGTGCCCGCTTCAGCTATGACAGGCTAAAAAAAGTCTTGAAAGCGTCGCGACATCTCTGTCGGTTTTTAGACAACAAAAATGCTTCTGAGAATAGGAAGCATCCCCGACACAGTGAGTCAGTGACTGATTCTGCAGACCTGCTCGCCAAGAAAAAAATTTTAATTTCTTGCGCGTCTACAAATGAATGCCCTTCCGGCCAAGAAAATATTGTACACATTTTTGATTGGTCAGTGAAGGGCTTTACTACCAGTCTTGTCACCGAACAGCGACTCGAATACTCGTCCAGAAAACAACTTTTGACGGAAAAATTTGTAACCCCAGCTTCGCACAAGGTATAGTGGTATCAAATGGTCTTTGCTACCGTCTGAGAATTATTTTTGGCCCTCTTAAAATTGAAGTCAGTCGTATAATTAAAGCTTCTTGTGCCACCATTACCCCACTCTCCCCTGCTGCATGTGTTAACAAAATAAACAAAACATGACAATAAAATACACACCAGAAGCCAAATAACAGCATCGCAAAACACAACAAAAACAAAGGGACACTGCTTTGAAACAAAAGCCTGTGGGGAAGAGAGCGATTGGGCCTTCGGAGTCTCTACGAAGGCCAACTTTGGGGAAAGAATAATCATCATGCCCGATACGTGTTCCTTTTGTCATTCATATTAAAAATAGCGCAAAAGAGACGGGACAAAAAGACGAAGAAGCACACAGGACAAACGCTAACTGGCAACTAAACTTTATTGAAAGCTTCCAACTTTGACATTTTTAAAACGTTTGTATGGACAGTGCGGCGCTAGGCGGCACAATCCGCTCCCCTTTTCCGTTTTATTCTGAATAGGCTTCACGAACATTCCCAGGGAAGGCATTCATACATATACGCCGCAAACAGTCAGTAGAATAGCAAGTGCTTGATCACTTCCTTTGAGGCAAGGTTACCGGAGCTTATTACCTGTGGAAACTATTTTATATTAACTCCCTGGGTTGAGGCTTATTTGACAAAGAGACGGAAGCAACTGAAGGATCGTGATTGGAGTCCCGGAATAACGAGCGGGGCCAAGTGAAGTTCAATTGAAACTTAAACCGTGAGCCGACACGAACACCGCAAATGGAAACCTAAACTCAGAACCCATTGACATTCTTGAAACGTAAGCCGTTCTCATAGGAAGTCGACTCGCCCAGTTCCGACTCGGCTAAGAACGTGACAGTTCGTCCGGTATCCTGTGTAAAAATTAAGACGAATGGCTCTCCGATAAGTCCCTGCTGTAACCAAAATATTAAAATATTTTGGTTACAGCAGATTCATTTTCTCCTGTTCACCATTTTCAAAATTAACACTTTTGGTGCGCCTGCGTATCCACTCGGGGAGTTTGGTACTATATGGGCATCTCAAAATACACTTTACACACAAAATGGCCCGCAAAATTTAGATCCTTGGTGCAACAAGTAGGAATATTCCTGAAATACGTGTTTTACTGGTCACATTTATGCAACAAAATTTTAGACCCGAACTACCCCTGCAGAAAAAAAAAAAAAGATTCGCTTTTTTGTACTGGTAGTTTAGTCTTGCAATATGTTTGCATAAATGTGGCCAGTAAAACACGTATTCAGAGAAATTTCTACTGGATGCGTCAAACCGCTGAAGTTTCCGGGTCATTCTTTTGCGGAGCGTCTTATTTGGGGACACCAGGTAGTTAGCTGTCACAATGTCCGTGTCCGTTTGTTTATGTCCTTGTCCCTTTTTCTCCAGTCTCG